AATATGTGCGGAAAATGCTTATTTCGTAATATAATTTCATAAAATCTACAGCTAATGATGGAAAGATATACACAGTTGGATGTTACTTTGCATGTTTACTTCTTGCTGCACACATCAGGAAACCATTCAAAAGCTTCATGTTAAGCTTTCAGCATCTGCAAACTACAGAGCTGTTTACACACAAAAATGTACATGCTTAAATATGTGCAAACATACATATAATTTTATGCTCTGGATCAGTGTGACAGTAGAGTAGAGAAGTACTGTGTGTGTGTGTGTTTCTCTAGGGAATGCATAGCTGCAGAGATCTCGGGCTCTGCTGGCCAGAGACATACTTTGAGGTGACAGTCATGCGGCCTCTGCCAGTATTCTCCCATACACAGGGATGGTTTGAAACAGAAAGAGTCATTTCATCAAAAAAGTCACCAGTGGTGAACCCCCTCATGGTAACTGCAATGCTGGTTACACCAGCTGCAGAAACTCATGGGCAGAGTGTCTTTCTGGACATCGAAAGATCATATCCTATACAGCTGTGGAGGGCAGACTTGATTTCATCCTGACTTTAACTCTGTCCTCCTTTACTGTCTTTCAAATTAACACATATTCACATATGCCATAGACACAGCAACATCACAGTACTGGACTAACACACAGATGCACATTCATGAATATGTGTTTTAGGGGGACTCTACATAGGCGTACTGATTTGTTTATACTGTACAAACTTTATCTTCTATCCCCTTACACTAAACCATCATAGAAAACGTTTGAATTTCAATAGAACACTGTTTATTATGTTTTTAACCCAATTTGGTTTACTAGGACACAGGAAGTGTCCTCATAATATGTTTACGTTGTAATACTCATGTCATTATACACATTTCTGTCCTCATACACCACATATACCTGTACACACACACACACATTGGGTTTCTATGTTTCATGGGGACTTTGCATAGACATGGACTTTCCATGATTTTTAAAGTACAAACTGTATGTTACACCCCCTTACACTAACCCTATCCCTAAGCCTACTCATCACAGAGAACTTTATGCATTTTTACATTTTCAAAAAACATCTCTTAGTATAATTTATAATCTCCCACAATGTCAAAATGTACTGGTAGTACTATTCTTGTGGGGACATTTGAAACTCATAATGTAGAGAATACCAGGAGCACACAAACTCACACACACACACACACTCACTCACATACACCTATAACATAACTATGCTGTAGTAAATCCCTCACACAGACTCACTTCACAACATATTTCTTAGTTGTATAATGTTATTTTTTTGTGTCCAATTTGGCATTTATCTATTTTTTTTTTTTTCAGTGAACTGTTTGCTAAATATTAAACCACATGAACCATCGTTTATGGCACATTCTTACATCATTTATGTCATCAAAACAGGTGAAAATTTGCTCGAATCGCTGTAAAACAAATTTAACATGTTTAGTGATTTTAAAGTCAAAATTTCCTTTTATTTCTTTGTGTTGCAGAGCTGAAGGAAAATGTGACTTGAATTGACTTAAAAAACCTCGACTTGAATTGAGCATGTGGGACCTGGCATCAATGTTATCAAAAACCAACACGAGGTGAGTTCATCCAATAAATCCAAATGTAAAAACAAATACAAATCTGGCTGCATCATAGCCCATAAATATATTTGTACAATTATTGATGTTATTTTATCTGACTGATTTGTATAGTTGCAACATAGCATGCTGGCCTCAAGAAGTCTTGATTCTCATCTTTTCTGTCAGAACAGACAGTCTTGAATACGCACATAAACATTAACAGCGTGCACTTTATTGTCTTACTTTTTCAGATGCACCTTTACTTTCCAGTCTTTTTCATTACATTATAAAATGTCTTCCCTGCTGAAAATTCCAGCACAAACCAGCATGAATTCCATGTTGGTCCAGGCTGCTTAGAGCCGGTGTAGTGCTGGTCTAGCTGGTGGCCCAGCATAGTGATGCCGTTCTCAAACAAAACTGAGCTGGTGTAGCTGCTCCACTAGCACTCCTGGTGACCAGCAAGCCATGCTGGTCCCAACATTCAAAACAAACCTTATGCTGGTGACCAAAAAAAAAAAAACGTTTTGCCAGGTTCACAGCCAGCCACTACATATTTTAACATTTCACTTTATAAACGGTGAATTTGCATACCTGGAAAGCTGACTAGTGAAGTTTGCAGATATAAGAAAAACGCTAGGGGAAAAAAAAGCAGTCAGAGCTAGCATGCATGCTATCGGTACACTATACCTGTATATCAGCAGCACACAGGCAATGCCCGGCTGTTTTCTGCATACTCTGTGACCCCTCCTCTCTTGTGCCTTGCTGTGGTGTGATTAGTGTTGGCCCTGAGGAGCTAATGAAGTCTGGCGCCTGCGTTTGCATGATTACAGTTGGCTGCGGCACAAAGCCAAGAGCCCACAAGGACAATAGATGTCAGTTTACAGCATGCCAGCCCACGCTTCTGCTGTTTATCAAACGTCCTGTATCGCTGTGTTTTATGTGACACGTTTGAATGCATATGGTGTCGTAAAATTAAATCCGCTTTGGACGCAATTTAAGTGCATTTCACTATAGCCGGGTGTAGTTTGGAAAATATACATTCATGCATGTCATTGAATGATTTAGGTCTTATTAATAATAGAAACATTTTACATTTGAAAAGTAATTTAATATTGTATTCAACAATCCCCACATTCCACAATTTACAGCATTCTGTTTGTTATATAACCATTGTTTTAATCTTTTTTTTGGGGGGGGGGGGTCTCATTTTTTAAAAGCTAGTTAGCCTTTCGTGACAACAGATGATGAAGCATTTTTGCATTCATTAAATATACAAGCATCTTCAAGCGGATCGCATAACAGCGATGTGCGTCGCGGTTGTAAACCGCATCCTCCTTTCCCTCTCAGAACAAAGAATATGCGCATGGTAATGACATGCAAATGTATGCAGATTTCAAGAAGCAAGAGGGAGGAGTTGAGAGGGGAGGCAGAGGAGAGGCTATAGTCTAGTTTCACTGCAAATACACTGAATGTTTACATATATATATATATATATATATATTCAGGGCACATTGTATTAAGAATTTCTCCGGAATGCCAGATTTGAGGTTAAAAGACACTAAAAAATCATGCATATTAATTTAAATTCTATGCATAAACTCTCCAATCTGTTTTTTTTTACTCAATCTACATATATTCTACTGCGCCCACACACCCACGAGAGATGGTTTTATCTTAAACAAGGATCAGCTTTATCACCTGAGAGTTGCTCTCAGCTATAAGTTTTGCTTATTGCTAACTTCTTTATCACCCCCTTCACCATTGTATTGTCCTTTTTTTACCACAATGCTTTAGAAAGGATGATAAAATATCACTGTAGCATTTTCAGACAATTGAAATATAAAATATATCAATGAAATAAGTTAGCATAATCCATAGCTAGGTGTTATAACGTAACCCGAGACCATTCGTTATTAGGATGAAAATAGAGGTACAGCGATTTCATTGAAGAAATTATTAATAAATAAGGTATTTCTTTCCCCTAAAATCTAGGCAGTGGAATTTCAAAATGCCTTTTTTTTTTCAGCATAATAAAATATTGGGTTAAAAAGAAAAAAATGAGGTCAGTGCTTCAGCTTGATCAGAATTAATGACATTTTATAAGTGTCTCAATGGCTTTTCATTATTGCCAAAGAGATATATTGCGAATATAACAGCCCCTCCCCATTAACGGTCTGAAAATGGGTCTTGATGATAGTCACAACTGATTACATTTTGTATGAAGCTGCATAATAAGTAAACACTCGCTTGACAGTAATATCACTTTAGCCGCTCAGCGCAATTTAGCAAATATAGCATTTAAAATGATATAATTCAATATTATTTTTTCTTTCTTTCTTTCTTTCTTTCTTTCTTTCTTTCTTTCTTTCTTTCTTTCTTTCTTTCTTTCTTTCTTTCTTTCTTTCTTTCTTTCTTTCTTTCTTTCTTTCTTTCTTTCTTTCTTTCTTTCTTTCTTTCTCTTTCTTTCTTTCTTTCTTTCTTTCTCGCTTTCTCGCTTTCTTCCTTCTTACAGAGTTTTTGTAGGTTATATCGCATGCACACGTTATGCGTGTGCTTTTGTTTAGATGTGCGGCAACCTAACCTGGGCGTTATTTGCAAGGCGTCTGTGGAGCATTAATACAATTTCTATACGTGTGTTAGTGGGTGTGGTTGTCCGTATGCGTGTGTTTGCCACTTCTTCCATTTCCAAAAAAGATCAGTGATTTGTGTGCACCAGCACATGAAAGGCCGTTAAAATAATGCCCATCCCCAGACAGGAGACACAATACTGCGTTAGTCTGTGGCACACACATGTCTGGGCCTCTCCTCAGACACAATATGGCGAATGGAGAGAGAGAAAGAGAGAGAGGAGGGGGGTGTGAAGGCACAGACAGACACTCAGAATAATGCATAATGATGTTAACATTCCTGCATGTCTAATAGAGCAGGACCCAGCCACAGAGAGATGCACCAACTCAGACAAGCACATGTGTGTGTGTGTGCGCACAGGTTTGTGTGTCCATGCACTCAGCATCCTGAGATACAATAATTTGGACTCTTTATGCAAGGGTGTGTTTGAATCTTTTCTTTGAGGTTATGACAGCGAACGCTGGCCCAACGGCGTTAAGCCGTTGCACCTCTTAGAAACACACTTTCAAATGTGCCTCATGTGCGAGGATGCAAATAGACAGATACAAAAACACAGATTTTTTTTTTTTTTTTTTACATTCCCAAAATGCTTCTGCAATATTTAGTTATTTTTTTTACTATAGCAATGCTTTAGCAGAGATTTATTGTGCTAGATTGTGTCAAAGAAATGGAAAAGAAAAGTGTGTGTGTGTGTGCGTGCAGGAAGAGTCGCGATGACAATATGGCTCCGTCCAGCATGCACACGCATATACGAAAAAATAAATCCAAGCGGCCACAAAGCAACTCTCCTTCCCCATTTCAATGCGCTCTCGTTCTCTGACATGGGCGGCTGTATCATTTTAATTGGGAGCTTAGACTGAGGTGAGATTGTCCCGTTTCTATTTATTTCATTTTGTTAACCTCACATCAGGCAGAACCGTGCCAATGGGACCAACTGAATTGGATATGAAAATAGACAGGAAGCATTTGTCGAGGGAGAGAAAGGGTGAGAGAGAGAGACAGCCGTCGTCTCCGGAGGAAGGCGGGCGAGGACGGAAAAGCTCATTTTCTGTGGCCACCCCGTGCCGTCTGCATTGCAGATCGGTGAAAATCCTGGCGAATATGATGGCGAGGCTCGGGAGAGGGTTTATGTTATCTGTGCCTTTGGTACGCTTTGTTTTTTTTTTCTTCTTTCCTTCCATATTTTTTTCCTCTGTGGTCGCCATAAAATGTCAAGTTAATTTCCTGGGTGGTGTGAGCGACGCCTCGCCATGCCCCGTGTGTGTGTGTGTGACATGATGTGTGTGTGGTAGCTAGTTGGGGGAAGAGGTTTGCAAGGAGGAGCTCGTGCAATGTGCCACGTTACATGCTGGTGTGTGTGTGTGTGTTTTGCTCATATTTTGTTACTATATACTGTATGTGTGTGGGGGCTGTAGCCATTTCTGTTTCAGTGTATGTGTGCGTGTAAATTAGCCGTCGCTGCTACACTGCGTTAGTGGGAGTTCCAGCACCTCATTTGAATGCGACACAATGTAAAGGATTATGGGTTGATGATTTTCCAAGAGGATTCAGACCTGAACCGTATTATAGGGTTCACAGACGTCTCTCAGCTAAATTAAACACCCACACCTGAATAAAACCAGTCTGCTTGAGAGTGTGTGTGATTGAGATATATGTGTATATATCGCATATTTATGTAGTCATATGTGGCCATTTCCAAATATATATTTATTTAAGTGCGCTGCAGCGAACAGTAATTTCCTGGCAATATTGTATTGCTTACTTTGAGAAATAAACTAGAATTTTCTTTTGCATGTTTCATGTAAAATGCCTGGTTGCAGACTTCAACTGAAGTAGGTATGTGATGAATTGGCGGGGATTGCCAGTGATTTGACAGCTAAAAGTATAGTGAACACATAATCTATTTTCACTGGATTCACATGGTTTTAGGGAAAAAGCTCCAAGGATGGTTTTGTCTATCATTTCTCTTTTTTTCTTTGTGGTGTGTGAATATAACTGTATATACATTGTATGTTTTTTCCTCTCAATAACTCACAAATTGATTATCCTTGAGAGTCACTCTGTCACACAAACTGTCTCAAAATTGTCTGATTTCCATACAGAACGGCCTTGGAATACAGAGCACATGCACTCTTGACAAATCTGCACGATCCATTAAGAAGTCTCCTCTTGTTCTTGCTCTGGTGGTGTTGTTCATATCCATGACACCGTATGACCACAGCTGAGGCAAGTTGATCTGGGAATTCAAATGTGTGAATATGCGGTGTAGGTGTGTGTATGTAAGAGCGTATTTCGATAGACCTGACAAATTTTGAAATGTGGTGGAAGGCATTAGGCATTTGTCACTCTCGCTTATGCTGATCTGTGCTTCTGCCCTACAAATGTCACATCCCATACGTCGGAAAAATCTCACCAGCCCTGCCTAATTGCACATATTCATGATGGTGCTTTGCTTATCGATTGTAGTATCGAGATATATGATGGTAAACGAGAGGGTGACTCCACCAATACAAATGTGCACGGAGAAGACGTTAAGGTGGGACTTCCACATCTTTTGTAATGGCATTTGATTGCTCTGAATGCAATTTCAATAAAAAGCATGTACAGTTACTTATAGATAATTATTGCTATTTTACGACCTTACAAATTCACCAAAAAAAAACAATTCATAGCAAAATTTACATTAATCATAATTATTAGTATAAGTAATAATAGTAATACATTTGATTAGTATTACTGCTGGTTTATTTATTTATTTAATCATTTATTTATCCCCTTTTCACTTTTGTATCTCTGCCTCAGCCTTTGTATTTTTATGATAAATCAAGGAAATGAGTGCTCTTACATAGACAATGAGAGTACAGGTGTGTGTGTGTGTGTGTGTGCAAGTGTGCGTGCCCGCGCTACAAATAGGAATAGAAAACGGCGGATGGTGTAAAAACTAAATGAAAGAGGCAGGAAGCGCAAATGAGAATCCCTCATCTCTAATGGCTGGATGTGAAAGGTAGTTTTGAGTTGGGTGTTTAGAGCAGACTTAATCAGGAGCCCTCCGATTAATTAACGGACACAGCGAGGACCTTCGCTACTGCTTGGGTAAACAGCGATTGTTCTTGGCCCGAGGTTCCCAAACATGGGGGGAACAATGACGATATTGTCCCTTTACCCCTCATTAGGGGGAGTGTGAGGTGTGTATGTGTGTATGTGTTTGCAATCACTCTCCCATGATCCCATTACTGCTTCCTGGTCCTGGCTCCTATCACATCTTTCGTGCCAGCTGCAGAGAGAGAAAGAGAGCAAGCCTGTCATAGCATCTTCACATCAAAACCTCCTATTGGAGAAAGAGAGGAAGGGGGATGCGGAGAGGAAACGAAAGAAAGAGCGTGTTGTGTTTGGACTTCATTAGCATAGAGGAAGAGGTGCACAATGGAGGACTTTACAGCCTTGTTAGTGAGAAGCAATCAATTAACAGGGCCAGACCGACCCTGGCAGAGCAGTGTGGGGTCTTTGAATGAAATGTCTCTCTCCCTGATGAATAAATGTTGTCATTTCCAAAAAAAACTGAATGTGTCACTGCATTCAAATGCTTGATTGGACTCTCAGCAGCAAGTGACAGTGTTTGCCCATTTTGTGTGTGTGTGTGGAGAGTACCCACAAAGATGTGTGCGCCTGTTTGAGTGTGTGTGTGTGTGTGTGTGTGTGTGATAAAGGGAGAGAGAGGTAGAACGTCCATACATGATTGTCAAAGGCACAAACTATACCTTAGGAAAATATAGCTTAGAGTAAAGAATGTGTATAGAAACACAACGACATATTTGTATGTGTCATAAAACCCCCTCTGAGCTTGTTTTGTTGTTATTTCCTCTTACTCTCTGCACTTTATTTACTTTATATCAAATATGTCTGATACCTGGAATTTCCTCTCCATCTGTGGATTTGTTAAATCATATGTCACATATTAGAAGTAACACACAAGAATGCCCTCTAAATTGTGAAGGCACCCAATGACCTGTTTCGGATCCTGGCACTGATGGCTTTTACGAAATAAAAGTTGCAGAAAGGGAATGTCTGCAGCAGACAATGACGATTGCATATAAAATTGAAGATCCCACCACCCCACCCCAACAAACACATCCCCATCTGTGATTCTTATTCAACGTTATCCCAGACTCCTCTGATGCTTTTCTCCACCTGGGAAATTGTCCTGATAATGGCTGCAATCTGTATCCAAAAGGCAGGGGACAGTTCTCTCTCTCCGGCAACCTGCGATGACTTCCGTCTGGAATTCCTACTTGAGTGGCATCAGTCAATCCATCAGTGATCACTCTGATGGGAAATCATGAGTGAAACAGATGACTTTACAATTCAAATTGTAAAGCTTATATAATATTTGTAAAAAGCTTAAACAGTATTTGTTCCACAGTGAACTGGCTTTCCTTAAAAATAAGAATTGTGCAGTAAATGCATTTCAGTAAGTGAATTTCTTTTTTTGAATGGAACGTTTTATGGTTCCATTGTCATTTTGGCATTATAGTAATACTAAAATGTGTGATTAATATGATTTTTAATATTGCTCTCATTAACAGTGCAGAGACTATTTGGATGCCAATCAAATATTGCACACATTGAACAATTAAATTACAAAAAAATTAACCGATTCGTTGGCGCTTATTTATTTTTGAAACGTGAATATGGTTTATTTATAATATTACTGTGTAAGTAATGCAGCCTTGTGATTTCTTACTGATTTGGTTTGCCATCCCTAAATGCTTCAAGAACATCATTTTTTGATTGGCTCAGGGTTTACATGCCAAAACAGCATAATGTTCAGCGGGGCACAAATCTTCATCTTTGCATTTCTCATTCTCGCCTTCCCACAGACTTCTACTCTTCTCATTTTGAGACATCACAGGCAAACATTATTTACTGATTAATTATTATCTAAAGCTGTGCGTGACTATGTCCACCACTACCGTGCACCGCAATCCCAGCAAACTCGTCAGGACGGCAAGGACATATTCTAAATTTAAGGCTTTCATTTCAAACCTCTTTATTTTACATGCGAGTTATATCTAAATCGAAGACTTGCGGATTTGTCGCAGAGGCATCTGCTGTTAAGCTGATGGTCCCTGCCAACTCTTCCCTCAAATGTCTGTCAAATACCACACACACACACCCCTGTATTTTCTAAAATGCCAGGTGCTTCCTCCAAACCCTCCTTCTCTGCTCCTTCCTGCACTCGTTGTGTTTAAAAACGAAGCCCAGGTACATTATCGTCCCTTTATTCAATTCTAATACAGAGTGTGTCCATCGCAGCATCCTCCGATCTGCAAATCCGCACCCAGGGTCTTTGTGGCAGCCTCATTTGCATAGAGACTGCCATTCGCTTGGTTCTCCCTTAATGGCACATTACCGTGGCAACAGCATGTTGTAAGTAAGGGAATAATTAATGACGACCCGATAACATGGGTACTCGCAACAGAGGTGGGCAGCAGCACTCTTCACAGCAATATTCTTTCGAAAGCATTAGCCAACATTAGGAAGAAATGCAGGGCACCTTGATGTGTTGAGAGGAACAAAGGGAAACGGAAAGAAAGAAAGCATATAAATGTGTGGGGATGGATGGATGGGGGTGGGCACAGTCACGTCTGAGGATGTAGGGCTTCCGTATATTCTGAAAGTCAGCGCTGGCAAGAAAGGAAAGATCTGAATGCGATTGACACTCTAATAGAGGTGGTTTGTATTGCAGCTAGGGCTGTGTGTGTGTGTGTGTGTGCGTGTGTGTGCACGCACGTCTCTGTGTGTGTGTGTGCACGTCTCTGTGTTTTGATGGGAGGGTGCTTGAACATGCTCCCAGTTGAAAG